TCACAAAATTACAAATCTCAATATTCTCTAAGACTGTTCCTTGGCAATTAAAGTGCTATAACTGTGTAGCATAGATAGTGTGTGTAGCATGGATCATAGAATCATAGAGTTGGAAGAGACCACCATCCAGTCCAACCCCCTACCATGCAGGAATTCAAAATCAAAGTATCCCTGACAGATGGCCATCTAGCCTCCAAGGAAGGAGGCTCCACTACTCTCCGAGGAAGTGTGTTCCACTGTCAAACCGCCCTTACTGTCAGGAAGTTCCTCCTAATGTTGAGGTGGAATCTCTTTTCCTGGAGCTTGCACCCATTGTTCTGGGTCCTATTCTCTGGAACAGCAGAAAACAAGCTAGATCCCTTCTCAACATGACATCCCTTCAAATATTTAATCAGGGCTATCATATCACCTCTTAACTGTCTCTTCTCCAGGCTAAACATACCCAGTTCTCTAAGTCGTTCCTCTACATTATACACTAAATACACTAAAGAGAATTTCTGAGTATCCTTCATTCTAACATGAAAAATTAATATGGGACAAAATGTGAAAGAGGACCATCCTTAAAACCCCTAAAGCCAGGGCTCATTAATACAATGCCGTTGTCATGCTATAATACCATTTTAACGGCCATGGTTCTGTCCTATGGAATCCTGGTATTTGCAGAGGGGGCACTTAGTATTCTCAGCCAGAGAGCTCCAGTGCCTCATCGAACTACAAACTACAGGAGCCTATAGGATGGAGCTATGGCAGTTAAAGTGGAATAAAGCTCTAGTATAGACTACAGCTAAGTCATAGACTGCATAGATCATGAAAGGCTATGGAATGTCTTTAAAGACATGCGTGTGCCAACACATCTGATAGTCCTAATGAGGAATCTGCACTCAGGACAAGAGGCTACTGTCAGGACAGAACAGGGAGAAACTCAATGGTTCCCAATTGTCAAAGGAGTCAGACAAGGCTGCATCTTATCACCCAACTTGTTCAACTTATATGCAGAACATATTGTAAAAAAAGCAGGCTTGGACACAGAAGAAGGAGAAGTGAAAATAGGAGGAAGGAATCTCAACAATCCAAGATATGCAGATGACACCATAATACTAGCAGAAAACCTCACAGACCTGGAACAACTACTAAGAAAGATCAAAGAAGAAAGTGCAAAAGCAAGCTTACTGTTGAATATAAAGAAAACAAAAAACAATGACCACAGAAAATCTACATAAATTCAACCCAGACAATGAGGAAGTAGAAATAGTAAATGAGTTCTCACACTTGGGATCAAACATTGATAGGAACAGGGACTGCAGCCAAGAAATCAAAAGAGGACTAAGAATGGGGAGGGCATCTATGAAATAATTAGAAAATACCCTAAAATGCAAAGGTATACAACTCAAGGAAAAAGTTAGAATCATATAAACCACTGTATTCCCTGTTACCATGAATGTGAGAGCTGGACAGTTAAGAAACAAGATAGGAAGAAAATCAATTCATTCAAGATGAGCTGCCTTCGAGAGTGGTGGAGTCTCCTTCTTTGGAGGTTTTTAAGCAGAGGCTAGATGGCCATCTGTTGGGGGTACTTTGATTGTGAGTTCCTGCATGACAGGGAGTTAGACTGGATGGCCCTTGGGATCTCTTCCAACTTTATGCTTCTAATTTTTTGTTTCCCAGAGAGCCAACATGGCCAAAGAGGGAAGTTGCCTTTGCCTGTGTTTATATCCCTCCATACAATCCTGACAACAACAAAATCCCAACATCTTGACAAAATGTAGGCCTGTGACTCTAACATCATCATTTTTTTTCCTTATTCTCTATCATTCTCTATCATTTGCTTGGTGAAGAAGCTGGGAGAACACCAAAAGCTTGTATGATGGATTTTGTGCATTTTAAGTAGGGCAAATAAAAATATCATTGTTTTGTGGAGTTTGCATGCTATTGTATGAAATCTTGATGGATTCTTCTTTCAAATGTCTGATTTTTTAAAAAAAATGCATGTACTCCTTTCTTCCCAAATTCGAAGCTTGATATCGTTTTGTGGAATTTGGATGATTTGGTATCAAGTCTTGATGGGTTCATCTTTTTTTCTTTCTTTCTTAGCATACAAATAATATATTAATCCTCCCATCCAATACTTTCCCACTCCTTCCTTCCCTTCTATTCCCTCTTTCTCCTTCATCTTACTTCCTACTTCCATTCCTTTCCTTCTTTCTCCTTCATGCTTCCTCTTTCCACAACCTTCGCACTCTCCTTCCCTTCCCATCCTTCAATCCCCTGCACCATCTTCCACTTCCACCTTTATTCTCTCCATGTACTCTCTACACTTTCTCTTTCCTTTCACCAACTTACTTCAAATCCCTCAAAATATCTATCCTTCCCCCACCTATCTACCTCCTTCCTCTCTTCTGACCCTACCTTCCTACTTTCTCATTCACTCATTATACCCCTTCCTATCTGCTGGAATACTCTATCTCTTCTCTTACAATTTACCTTCCCTATACCATTCCAATACCCTCCACCTCCCTTGGACAACATGTATTAATATTACCATAAAAGACCTTCTCCCCTTCTGATGGGTTCATCTTTCAAGGGTCTGGAATTTAAATACCCCAAAGTCTCTCCTTTCCTCTCAAATTCTAAGCCTTGAATCCTTGATATCCTTCTTCTCTTCCTGTGGTTCTGAGTACTAGTACTGTCTCTTCTTCTGCTTCTGCTTCCTCCT